CGATGGAAGATATCTATATGCCAACGAATTTAAATGAGAGGGAAGGATGCACCAAACAAACTATTTGGCTGTGATTGACCCAAAGAAAAGGTGAAGAAATTGAAAGCAGTGGGAACAGAAAGTAAATTTATAGTAAATAAAATATGAATGAAACAACTCCCATCTTGATCACAAGACAACACATCATTGACTGATAAAGAGTTCAAACCTTGATAGCATTCCGAGCACCCTGCACATCTTCAAACTCAACGAACGCATAGCAAACACCAGTATCCTGTCCGTCAAATGAAAAATCAGAGATCCCACATTTTACACCTTTTGTAAAAGACAGTGGGAAGGAAATGGACATGGCGATTTTTTAAGAAGAATCCATCGTGTTTGATTTTCCCAAAGTTCTTAAACTCTTGAAGAATATCTAGACTAGTGACACTAGAAGGCAGATTCTTCACATAGACAGATCTTGATTCCCCTGCCGAAAAGTTGTTGCTTTGATCAAGCTGATATGATTTAAGTAGAAGAACAAGTAATTTGCAGTATGTAAAAAGGCCAATTGCAACAAACTATACTAACGGCTCATCCATTAATGGGCATTCGCTTAGTGTACCAATGGCCAGGAGAAAAAAGAAATGGATATTTGTTCAAAGTCAATATCTTCTTAGAGTAAGCTCTGCATTTTCATGTTGATATCAGAGGCTTGATTATTGCCACCAAAATGAGAAATGTATCATACAATAACATAAGTTGACCACATCCGGCTAATCAATTACATTCCTAACAACGTTACTAAAATAAGATTTTCCCCAAACATAGCCACTACTTCACATATATCTTTTGAGTATACTCTTTTAAGTTTAGCAATACTTATAATTTAATGGATTTCATATAAAATTGTCATAACTTTAATCCATATTTCATTACCCGAAAACAAATAAATAAAAGAAAAATGAAGATAAAGTTTCTTACCTTCCTCTTGCAATAAATCATTATCTATCAAATCCAAACCAGCATCTGGTACACCAGACGCCACAGGGTTTGACTGCTGAACCGAAGGTTGTGATGCTTGATACCAATTTGAAGCAGGTTGAGTGCTGTAAGTGAACGATGGCTGAGAACTGACAGATGGTGTAAGTTTTCCTTTAGGAGCTCGCAACTTATAATTTTCCAAGAATTGAAAACAAAGAGCAGGGGGAAATGAAAATCAGTCAGATCGTGTTAAGAACACTTCAAAGACTCATCACGAAAATGAGCATGACTAAAAAGAGGAGACAAAGGTGTCTATTTTCCCATACGATGTCATCCATCAGATTTATACAACTATCCCAAGGAAGCTTACTTATTTTGCACATATTCGTAGGGATCATTTCACTAGAAGCACGTGTTAGACAAAATAACAGTAAAGTGCAGAAAAACTTATCAACAGATCGAGTCTCGTCACAGCATAATGTCCTAACGCAAAATTGTCCGTCGATAACTGCTGCGGCCTCTGTGGACACTCACCTCCANTAATTTTCCAAGAATTGAAAACAAAGAGCAGGGGGAAATGAAAATCAGTCAGATCGTGTTAAGAACACTTCAAAGACTCATCACGAAAATGAATGAGCATAACTAAAAAGAGGAGACAAAAGTGTCTATTTTCCCATACAATGTCATCCATCAGATTTATACAACTATCCCAAGGAAGCTTACTTATTTTGCACATATTCGTAGGGATCATTTCACTAGAAGTACGTACTGTTCAAAGGTCAGGATAATTCCTCTCCTAATCTAGAACATGATGTTCCACTACTTAGTTGTCAGCTTCCTCCAAAAACTAAGGCATTCAGAAGGACCAGGACCTTATCCTCCAGTATGAGTTCATATGTTCATAGATTTTACAATTCTTTTAATTCATTGAGATGGGAGTTACAGGGTAAGGAATGAGGAAGGGCAATCAACATCTAACAGATTTTAGGATTTCAAGTACCACGTCCAAAAGAGCATAGAAGAGATGATAGCTTTTTCAGTACTCATAGATTCCTAGTGCCTTGGTGATGTAAAATTTCAGTGGTATCAATTATTTTCATTTATTATGATAGAAGTATACCAACAAATGAAATGGGACCGTGTTAAGAAAGTAGTGTGTGAATACTTGTCAGATGGTTAACTATCCTATCTCTGACTACAATTTCATGTTGACTACTACCCTAAAACATTCATGCTACGTTCACAGATGTAAAGCTTCACAGAAGCTCCGAATAATTTTTTAATTAGGTGGGTCCAGCTCGGGACCCACCTCAAGTGAGGGTCGGTAACACTTCTATGAAACCGACCCTCTGTTCATCTGCATTAATCCAACATTCATACCTATGTCATATAACATATTTTCAACTTATATGACAGAACAATCACAAAGAATTATTATCATAATTTCTTTGACTAGCATAACTGGCTACATGTACATGTAAGAAACTTGTTAAATAGATAACGAATTAGAAGAAGTAAAAAACCAAATTGCAGTGGACAGAAAATAAAATGGACTTCTTGAAGCCGGGGCTTGTGTTCAACAGAGTGTCCTTAAAGAATATTCGCCTGAGCGCTTGCTTTCCAGGATACAGCGGCACAAATTGTAGCTGCCCAGTCGAATTGAAAGAGTGTGCCGGAACGGAATCACTAAGTGACTGGAAGAAGATGGGAATTCAAACAGGAAGCAGGGAGATTTCGTACAGTTGTTGTGGTGTGTCTGAACTGAAAAGATTGTTCAATATATATAGGCAAGGAGGAGCATTTACCTCTTAATGAAGCCGTAACTCCTGTCATTACACTGCCATTTTAATTCTGA